AAAAAAAAAAAAAAAAAAAAAGAAGGTTCCCAGATCCCCTAAGGCTTGGGAACCTGAGCTTTGTTTCACCCTACAGGTAATGGAGTCTGAAGTCAAAATGGCTGCACTTAGGACAAGGTGCTTTTTTGCCTGTTCCCAAGCAGCACCCCTCCATGGCCTCTGCATCAGATCCTGCCTCCAGGTTCCTGCTCTGTCTGAGTTCCTGTCATGACTTCCTTCAGAGATGAATAGAGATATGGATGTGTCAGCCAAATAAACTCTTTCCTCCTCAACTTGCTTTTTGGTCATGGTGTTTTGTCACAGCAATAGAAACCCTAAGATAAAAATGGGGCAGAATGATTAGAAATAGGGGACTTGATTTGTATCCTTGGCTAAAAGTCCAAAATGTCCTTTGTTCTGTCTTGGCTGAAGTCCAGAAATGCCAAAAAAAAAAAAAAAAAAAAAAAATTGGAGTCCCTTATTTCTGCTCTGGTTCCTAAATAATTTTAGTGTTTTGATATTTAAAGTTGGGAGGCCTTTGAGAAAGGCCCCTCAAATCTCAAATATCAGCTTTGCTATTTACTCCTTAGGATATAAATTATCGTATAAAAAAAGTAGAGATATCTAGGCTTTGTTGAGGCCCACTAAGGTAAAACTACTACCTGTTGTTTAAAAGAATGAGTTACCTCTGGGGTTCATGGGGCTCGGAGTGACTGGATTCTGTGTTCTTGGATCTTAGTCACTCAGATTTGAAAGTCCCTGAGAGCTATGGCTACGACACAGCGTTGACTGATAGAATTTCAATGCCAGTGGAGAGGTTGGAGCTGAGTTAATACAAGACCAAGAAGAGAAAAACCACACCATTTATTACCTCTACATGCACATGAGGATTTTCACAAGAAAGTAAAGTGGAAAGAAATGACCAAAGTATGATGCTTTTAGACTTTTTATACAAAATACAGTAAAGTCCCTGTAAAGTCTGATGGGACATAGATCTCTGGACTAGGGGCAGGAAACTCTAGAGACATCATGAGAAGATATCTGGGAGCCCATTAAAGCAGTCAGAAGACAAAGCTATTTATTCAGGCTTGGGACAACCCAGGTGCTGGTGTCTTGTGGGGAAAACATCTGTACTCATGGAATCTTTATGGCTTGCTGCTTATAGGAAAAGATAGGCCAAATGGTCTTTCCGAAGCTGCCAGGGAGACCCAACCTTTGGACATTGTGACATGATGCTATCATCTACAGTTTTTGCTGGAGAATCACACAGTGGAGTTAGAAGAAAAAAAAATCACTCACAAGAAAATCTCATGTTTTAAGTAAGTTCATGGTTTTGTGTTAGGCTGCTTTTGTAGCTGTCCTGGAGCATGTATGCTTGGGGAGACACCTGTGAATACTTCCTTCAGGGATTCCATACAATCAGTATGCTATTTTGGTGCATTTTCAGATGGTCCATTCTTACCTACTTTTGTAGGATGTAGATGCTGACATTTCAGTTGGGGCCTCTTCTTGAAAGATTTGGGTGTGAGACTTTGAAGACAATGAGGTGTGTGCTGGATGGCCCCTGAAGAAGCCTATTCCTTATTCCTGGCCAGTAGCAGCTGGGGATCAGGCACCAAGATGGGACTTACTGGGCAGTGCCAGGAGGGCAGGCTGACTGCCACAGAAGAAGGTCAGGGTGGAGGGGTAGCTAGACACATGGAGCCTTTCAGATTGCTTGAAACACTCCCCTGGGAGTCAGAAGGGGGCTCTAGGAAGGATGGCAAGATCTGCTTAAAACTCTAGCAGGACTGTCCTTGTGGCTTTATTGAGGAGGCACAGGGGCCAGCAACAGGGATGGGGCCTCTGCATTAAATAATCCAGGGAAAGGATCAATGATGACGAGTTCCAGGTCCAGATTGGAATCAGGTGTGCAACACCACAGTGTGTATGGCAGAGGGTGCAGGCCCTACAGTGTGGACCCAGTCCTAACAGGTTTCTGTTGGAAAACAGGGAATTAAATTGTTAGCCTGTGTCTGTGGTAGTTTGAATGTAATTGGCCCCCATAATCTCATAGAAGTGGCATTATTAGGAGGTGTGGCTTTCTTGGAGTATCTAAGGCCTTGCTGGAGGAAATGTGTCAAGGTTGGGGTGGGCTTTAAGGTTTCCTATTCTCAGAATACTACCCAGTGTCTCAGTTGACTTCCTGATACCTGCAAGATATAGGACTACTCCAGCACCATTTCTGCCTGCATGCTAACCATCATGATGATAATGGATCCAACCTCTGCAACTGTAAGTAAGCCAGCCCAATTAAATATTCTCCTTATGAGTTGCCATAGTCACAGTGTCTCTTCACAGCAATAGCAACCCTAACTAGACAGTGTCAGGAAATGTAGTAACAGACTTACAGTGTCTTAAACAAACAGGAATTTATTTTTATTTACAAGGAGTTTGGAGATGGAGAGCTGTTGGCACTTGCTGGGTCAAATGATCACAGGGTTTATCGTTTGGCCTTTTTCTCAGGTGAAACATGGTTGCTAATGTTCCAGGCATCACATCTCTAGTCAAGCAGGAAGAAGGGAGAGAGGCAGAGGGAAGCTCTCAACAAAGCATAGGATTTTTTAGTAGCTTCTGAGATTTCCACTTCAATTTCATTGGCCATATCTGGTCACATGGTCACCCAAACCTGCAGAGAAGGCTGAGAGAGTGAGAATTTATATTTATAGTCTCTAGTGAGAAAGACAGAGTTAGGTCTAACAGATTCGCAGAGCATCAAGGTGTCTACCATGGTTCTCCGGGATGACCTGCCTTGAGGTCCCGAGTGCTTTGGGGGTGTCATCTCTGTGACTTCCCATATCCTCCAGGTATGTCACAACAGCACACATACCTGTAGAACAGCAACACTCAACACTCTATTTAGGAAACACACATGTTCAGCATAACCCTTCACCAGCAGATACCTAAGACAGCTTCACTGCATTTAGACCTTTAGAGCTGGAACACACGCACACACATGCACATGCATGAGAGAGAGAGAGAGAGAGAGAGAGAGAGAGAGAGAGTCTATTTACACATCTATGCTGGCACCATGCACAAGAAAGAGATAGACTCTCCATTCTTTGTCACACTAACACCCTGTCCTCCTCCCACCATCATTGGAGCCAGAGCACCCAGCACAGCCACAGGGAAATCTATGTTTCTCTGACAGTGCTGTCCCAACAGCAAAGGGCTTGAAAGCTGAGGCATGGGTTTCATTTTTCAGGGGGAAGGATTCAGGCTTTTCTGTAGATCTTCAAAAAGGTAGGAGCAGAAGATTCACTCAGGAAGGGGCTTTTGAGGAAGAAGAGGTGGGGTTGATCCAGACTGGGAGGGGAGGGGTTCAGGTGCCAGTAGCTGGCAATATTGACCTAAGAGGCCATTCCATCGCCATAACAGTGGGGTCTTTAAACTACCATCTATCTTTCCAGAGATGATTGGGAATCCTATATTTGTTTTCAGAAAAGCTAAGATTTTTTTCTTTTCTTTTTTGGATGGAATTGTATTGTGGTTACATTAGGAAAGAATGAAGATTGGTAGTTACAATCACAAGACCATTTGGATTTGCTAGGTTGGAGCTTTCCAGGCCAAGGGTTTCTGACTGACTCTGTGTGTGTGTGTGTGTGTGTGTGTGTGTGTGTGTGTGAGGGGGCTATGGATAGTGAATGAAGAATTTTAGGGACTTTAGAAATGGCACTGGGAACCTCCAGGCCAGGGAGCCCAGAGAGTTGTATATTTATAAAATATACCACTCCTGGGTGCTTCAGCCTAGCTGTCTACATTCAAACCAATGTCCTAGGCTTCCCGGGGAGTGTGTGAGACGTGCCCCTTGCAGGGACTGTTCACAGGACTCTGATTTCTATGTGTGTAAAGTTGGCAATGTGCTGTTATAAGCTGGAAGCGGAGCAGTGAGGTGATCAGTGAGGTGAGATGAGGTG